CTGGGTCGAGGTAAAAAGGGTTAGGAGGAAGAATTCTGTATGACCTGGGAGCCTCCTTCCACAGGGGTGGGGGAATCGAATCCTGAAAACCGTTCTTTGAAAGAACTGGTCCCTGGATAAGGAGGTGGGCGTGGAAGGAGAAGCTGCGAGGTGTGCCGCAAATCCTTCGGCAGCCACGACTCAGTTCCCAGAAGGATACTGGAGAGGGTGGTATAAGGAAATGGGGCTCCGAGACTCCAAACCTCTCGCGGGTCTCCGCAGGAGCAAGCGAGGGACCCCGCCCCTTGGCCCCCTGACCGGGTAGATGGAGTAATGAATGGGCAGTTCTCCAGAAATCACCGCCACCCCTCCCCCGACCTCGGTCTTTCAGCATTGCTGCCGTCACAGGGTGGGGAGCTGCGGGATCGCAGAGCAAACAAATCCCCGAGCTCCAGCCTGGCCCCTGGGACCGGAGGGCGCTGGCTCCAATTCTGAAAAAGGGGCATGAGGCGCACTGGTCTCGAACCCCGCCCCCGCCCGGCTCACGCCAAGCCCACGGGTGTCAGCCGCCCGGGTGGGTGCGGACCTTCCTGCCCCCTGGGCCCTGGGGGCGCGAGCCCCCTGGGGCCCGTGTCCCGACTTTACCTCCTTTTTCACGTTCCACAGCAGTTTCTCTTTGACTGCGTCCTCCGCGCTGCCCATGGTGCGGCGGGTGGCAGGGAGGCGGCGCCGAGCGACCCTCCAAGTCTCCCGCGCGCCCTCGCCGCCTCCGCGCCGCTCAGCTCAGCGCCCCACGCGCAAGGCGGAGCCCCCGCTCGCCGCACTCCCCTCCCGCCGCCGCCGCCGCCGCCGCAGCCACTGCCCGGTGCTCTGCTCCGCAGCCATCTCCCGAGCCCCGCACAGACGTCAGGCGGCTGCCATGGTAACGCGCCCGCTCCCGCCTGAGGGCGCGAATCCGCATTGTGAGCGCCCGCCGCCAACCAGGCAGAGTGCCGGGTGGGGCGTCCAGGAGGGTCCTGCACCCGGTTGAGGAGAAACTCGACCGCCCGAGGTTAGAAGCAACTCAGCTAGGCGACCCCTGACTTCTGCCCGCGGCTTTTCCCGACCGGAAGGAAAAGAGCGCCGGCGCTGTGAGGGCTGGTGACAAGACCCTGGACTACCGAGGGAGAGTTCTGGCCACTGAGCCGCCAGCCTTAGTCCCCCGGCCGCAAGCTGCATGTGTTCCTGAGCCTCCCTGCCAAGCCAGTTGCCCTCAGTTGCAAAGCTTGTGGGACGAGTGGCCTCTAGCCAGCGAAGGCTTAGCTGATCCTGAGAGGATGCCTGTCACAGCCAGTCCTCTCCACCTCCCTTAGGATCGCTGCGTCCAGTCTGGCCCTTCCTGGGGGGATGTGGGATGTGGGGGCTCAAGTTGGGGTAACAGGGTCTAGCGGGAGCTTGTATGGAGCTGATGCCAATGACATGCGCCTTCGACATGAAACTTGGAAACTTCACCCTTCCTAGGAAATAGAGAAGGTTGTTCAAAGTGACAAAGAACACCTGCTGCTGCAAACTGAAAGGCGGGTGTGCACAAATCTAAGTTCTCAACTGATTGTTGAGTCAGAATCCTTGACTGGGTTTCTGAGACTATAAACTGCATGGGAGAAGATGATTCTCTCTCCCTCCCTTCCTCCCTCCCTCTCTCCCTCCCTTCCTCCTTCCGTCCCACCCTCCCTCCCCTTTCTTTTTTCTTTTCTTTTTTTTCCACGTCAGAAGGGTAATGTGCCCATGTTGTAACAAGGTTTAAATGGTGGCACATGTCATACAGGAGCATGAACACCCAATCATCATGTTTATGAGATGGAGAAGGATTGGTTTTGCTTTCTCCTGTCGAGCCGCTGGTGGATTCAAACCGCCAGAGACGTGCGATTTGTGGATTAACAGCGCAATTCCCTATACTCAACGCCTCTAAACTCATTGCGGAAGAGTTGAAACCAACTCCTAGCTGACACTCGTTTGCATTTCGAAGACTAGAAATAATCTCTGGAACTGTGGTGGCCCTGTGGCAAGAAGCTGCGTTGCGACCCCAAAGACATGCGGTTCGAGGCCTTCTCTCCGCGGGAGAAGGCTGTGCAATCTCCTCCCCTGCGATTAACTGCCTCTGAAAACCCGCAGAAGGGTCAGCTATGGGTCGGTTTTGACTCTACAGTACGCAGGTGCACAACAAAGTCTTTAGAGATTGTTCCATTTCTCTCCGCTGAGAGGCTGATGGATTAGAACTACCAAAGAAGCGAAGCCTTTGAGTTAGAGACTACGCCACTTGTTGTTATGTGCCATTGAGTCATTTGCGACTCATAGCGACTCTATGTACAACAGCCCTAAACCCTGCTCTATCCTGTGCCAATCTCATTGCCTCTGACACACCCATCCTGATTACCCCAGTCACTGAATCAATCCACCTCATAGAGAGTCTTCCCCTCCTGCGCTGTCCCTCTACTCTACCCAGCATGATGTCCCTCTCTAAAGACCTGTCTCTCCTTACAACATGTCCAAAGTATGTCAGACAAAGCCCCAGAATCCTTGCCTTCAAGGAGCAGCCTGGTTTAACCCTCTCTACGATGAATCTGTTTGTTTTCTTGGCAGTCCATGGTACATTCAATACTCTTCTCCAGCACCACAGCTCAAAGGCGTCAATTCTCCTTCTATCCTCCCTAGTCATTGTCCAACTCTCTGATGCATAACAAGTGATTGCAAAAACCATGGCCTGTATCAGGCGCACCTTAGTCTCCAGAGAGACACCGTTGCTCTTGAGTACTTTAGAGAGGTCCCTAACAGCAGACTTTCCCATCGCAATACGTTTTTTGATTTCCTGGCTACTGGTGCCAAGAGTGTTGACCGTGGCGTCGAGCAAACTGAAGCTGTGAACAATCTCAATCTCTTCGCCATCCATCCTGATGCTACCGGTTGGTCCAGTGGTGAGAATTTTTGTCTTCTTGACATTGAGCCTCAGTCCATATTGAAGGCTGCAGTCCTTGACCCTCTGCAGTAAGTGCATGAGGTCCTCAGTTTCATTGAGCAGGGTTGTGTCATCTGCATAATGCAGATTGTTGATAGATCGTCCACCAATCCCAATGCCGCGCTTCTCCTCATAGAGCCCAGCCTCTCGGACAATCTGCTCTGCATACAGGTTGAAAAGGTCTGGAGATAGGACACATCCCTGACATACACTCTTCCCAATTTTGAACCATGCAGTGTTGCCCTGCTCTGTTCTGACGACTGCCTCGTGGTCCAAGTATAGGTTTCGCATTAGCACGATTAAATGTTCTGGGATTCCCATTCTTTTTTTTTTTTTCCCATTCTTCTCGGAGTCAGCCACAGTTTGTTATGATCCACGCAGTCAAATGCTTTTGCATAATCAATGAAGCACAGATAGACATTCTTCTGGTACTCCCTTTCAGCTAAGATCCATCTAACATCAGCTACAATATCCCTAGTACCACCACCCCTTCTAAACCCAGCCTGGACTTCTGGCAGTTTTCTGCTGATGTATTGTTCCAGTCGTTTTCGGATAATCTTCAGTAGAATCTTGCTTGCATGTGAAATCAATGATATTGTTCTGTAGTTTCCACATTCGGTTGGGTCACCCTTCTTTGGGATGGGAACAAATATAGACCTCTTCCAGTCAGTTGGCCAAGTGGTTGTTCTCCAGATTTCTTGGCACAACTTGGTGAGCACATCCACGGCAGTATCTGTTATGCATAGGAATCAGATCGATTACATCTGTAGAAAAAACCGCTGGAGAAGCTCAGTATCAGCTGTGAAAACTAGGCCAGGAGCTGATTGTGAACCAGACCACCAACTACTCATATGCAAGTTCAAGCTGAAGCTGAGGAAAATTAAACCGAATCCACAGGAGCCAAAATATGACTTTAATTTCATACCACCTGAATTTCAGAATCATCTCAGGAGCAGGTTTGAGGCCTTGAACACTAATGAGCGAAGACCAGATGAGTTGTGGGAGGATATTAAATGTATCATCCAAGAAGAGTGCAAACGGTCATTACAAAGACGGAAGAGGAAGAACAGACCAAAATGGATGTCAGAGGAAACTCTGAAGATTGCACTGGAACGTAGAGAAGTCAAAGCACAAGGAAGAATCCAAGACACTAAAGAGCTGAACAGAAGATTCCAACAGGCAGCACGGAATGACAAAGCAAAATATTACAATGAAATGTGTGAGGAGCTAGAGTCGGAAAATCAAAAGGGCAGAACTCGTTCAGCATTTCTTAAGCTCAAGGAACTGAAGAACAAATTCAAACCTCGAGTTGCTATAATCAAGGATGCTTTTGGGCGGATTTTTAAATGATCCAGGAGGTATCAAAAGAAGATGGAAGGAATATACTGAGTCATTGTATCGAAAGGAATTGGCAGATACAGAAGAATTTAATGAAATAGCATTTGAGCCAGAGCCTATGGTGATGAAGGCAGAAGTTCAAGCTGCTTTGAAGGAAATAGCAAAAAATAAGGCCCCCGAAATAGATGGTATACCAATTGACATATTTCAGCTAACAGATGCTGCCGTGGATGTGCTCACCAAGTTGTGCCAAGAAGAACGCCACTAGAACACCGTAATTTCTAATTTTAGCTAGGGTTTTAAGTTTTCTCAGCATTTAGGGAGGGAGTCTCATCCGGCATTTTCTTACAATATGCAAATCTTATCAAAAAAGAAAATACCAGTCAGATCTGATTTGACGGTACACGTAAAAACAATACAATAAAAATTTAAAAAAAAAGAAAATAGGAGAGAGCAGAAATCCGAACTTCAAGAGTCTATATCCGTCATTTCAAAGCTTCCAATTGCAGACCGTCGAGTGGGAAATGTTAACAGAGGCTTAGCGGTGATACAGTCACAAGGAACAGGAAAAATTGTAGGCAAATAGCCCCTCCTCTGACAGGTCCCACCCCTGGCCCGCCCCCGGAGTACGAACCGGAAGTGATCCGTCCGGTCCGGAAGTGCTGTTGACGTGGTACACGTGAGCGGCAGCATGGTGGTCCACCGCTCCGGCCCTCTCAAGCAGCAGAATAAAGCCCATAAAGGCGGGCGACATCGGGGTCGGGGATCTTCGCAGCGAGACAGCAAAGGTGAGAATAAAGGGTAGGAGAAAGAACGGCTATCTGGGTGATCTGTGATGCTTTCCCCAGGCCCAAACTGAGCTACTACTGTTTCTAACCAGGGTCCCTGGTAAAAGTTCTTGCTAAGGTGGGAAGAGATAGGTCACCTTTCTTGGCCTTTTTCTGGTGCCAAGCATGAGAATCCGTGCTGATCTTCCCTCCAGGTCGCCTAGGAGTGAAAGCGCTGAGCAAGAAAGTGAGAAAAGAACTCAGCCGAGTAGACCAGCGGCATCGTGCCAGCCAGCTCCGGAAGCAGAAGAAAGAGGCGGTGAGAGGAGCAGGAGTTTGCAGAACGGTCTTTTTTGCAAACTGGTCCAGGCGGAAAAGCCGCGCACTAAAAAACGTGACACCGGGAAGGGGCCAGGGACATGTGGTTTGGAATTATTCCTAGCTTTCATCCTCATTCCAGCCACTCTCCTGGCACGCTGCAGTTTACAAGACATGCTGTTCAGTTGGTGCACTGTTGGGAATGCAGTACTAGAGTGAAATACCGAAACATTGGGATTCTCACTGATCTTTTCAATCCTCAGGTTCTGGCGGAAAAGAGACATCTGGGCAGCAGGGATGGCCCTCCCCATCACGTACTCATTGTCCCTCTGCACAACAATATTTCCCTGCCAGAGGCCTTGCGACTGCTTCAGGATTGTGATACTGGGACTGTGCACCAGAGTGAATGGGGAGGCACCCTGAATTTTATGCTGCTCTGCCCCCGGTTGAAACATCGGTGGTTTTTTACATCTGCGAAGCCAGGTTAGGATATTTATATTGTGTTTGAATAGTAGTAATGTTCTTTAAAAACACAATAAATAGTGTCAACCACTTTTTACTGACTTTTCCTTCTCTCTCCAGGGGATCTGCACACTGTGTTAGACATGGCTAAAGTGGCTGATACCATACTATTCCTCCTTGATCCAATAGAAGGCTGGGACAGCACTGCGGATTATTGCCTCTCCTGCCTTTTTGCACAGGGCCTTCCTACCTATAGTAAGTGACTTAAAAGAGTATTGACAGTCATGGAAAGGTGTGAATGAGTGTTTATAAAGCCCCTGTAATCTGTCTGGGTTTAGCCTGGCTCTTGGTATAGGGGTGATTATAACCTGTGATCGGTTATTTTTTAATTTTTTTTTAAATTTTATTTTATTTTTTTTTGTGTGTGTACTGTCAAATCAGATCTGACTGGTACAGGAGCAGATTGTTCCTTCTTCTCCAGCAGAGCATCTGGTGGATTTGAACTGTGCACCTCTTGGATAGCTGTGCAGCTTCTTGCCACTAGGCCACCAGAGCTCGCCTATTTTTTAATTTCTTTTTCTTGTGTCCCAAATTGGATCCGCCTGGCACAGGAGGAGATTGCCCCTCCTTCTACAGCAGAGCATTTGGTGGATTCCAACCACACACTTTTGAGATTGTAGCATAGCTTCTTGCCACTAGGCCACCAGAGCTCCCTCAGTGATTAGTTATTTATATATATCTTAAACTTGTTCTCTTATTTACAGATTTTATGCCAGTGCACCTTTTCATATTTAGGGCAGCTTATTTTTGGATTAGGGGCCTTTGGTAGCCTAGGGGTAGGGAGTTGTGCAGACAACCCAAAGGGCACACGGTTCTAATCTACTAGCTGCTTAGCTGGAGAAAGATGGACAGTCTCCCCCATGAGATTTACTGCCTTTGAAAACCCCCTGAAGGGTCAGCTATGAGTAGGTTCCGACTCAATAGCACACAACAACAATAATTGTTGGATTTACCAGTGATCTCAGGGCTCATGCTTGAATTGTCAGTCATTTGTGTGGGGATTTTCACATAATGAAATGATACATCACCAACCTCTTTTTCTTTTGCTTACAGCACTAGCTGTTCAGGGAGTTTCTGGTCTTCCACCAAAGAAACAAAGAGATGCCAGAAAGAAGCTAAGCAAAGCAGCAGAGAAACGCTTTCCTGATGACAAACTCTTCCTGTTAGACACCCATCAGGAGGCTGGGGTGCTGATCAGGCAGTTGGCTAATCAAAAGCAACGGCATCTTGCCTTTCGAGATCGGCGGGCCTACCTGTTTGCATATGCTGCTGACTTTGTACCTAGTGAAGAGAATAACTTGGTTGGCACTTTGAAAGTCTCTGGTTATGTTCGTGGGCAGACTCTAAATGCAAATAGCTTGCTGCATATCATTGGACATGGTGATTTTCAGATGAAACAGATAGATGCTCCCATGGACCCTTTTCCTTTAAATCCGAGAGTGATTAAATCTCAAAAAGACCCAAGCCTGGCAATGGAGGTAAGAATAATCCTAAAAACCACATACTGTTTTATGCATGAACTGGCAGAGAATGAGAACTAATCAGAGAAGGTAGACTGCACACTTAAGCCAAGGATTGCAAATAATGCGGAAGCTAATTACCAGTATGTTGGTAAAACAGCTGTTTATCCAGCACTTTGTTGGTATTGCACTTGAGTTGGCTGAAGCTTATAGTAGACTGCTGTGGTCACTTCCTCCAAAAGGGGCACACCCACAAATCAAAGACTGAGATGATGGCTAATGAAGGTACAGACTTGCTATGGAAGTTGAGGAAGTAGACTAGCACACATCATGGAAATCGGACTTGAACGGAGTATTGAATAGGACAAATGATATGAGTTGAATAGAGATGAAAGAATTCCTGGAAGATGAGGATAATATGGATTAGAAGGTTCCTTTTTACCTGCACATCACTCCAACTCCCAGCCCCTCTGGGTTTGTTTGAACTCTGTAAAGAAATTTGCTTGCTAGGAACAACTTGCTTGGTGGTAATAGTGTCAAATTATGAACACTTAAAAAAAAATCTAAATTTTTTGAGTATATATTTAAAATATTTGAAACATTTTAACAAGTTTTGAGTTTCTGTTTTACTTTCTGTCTACTGGGGCACTTCATTTAGTCAAGAAATTTTCAGTTATTTTGTTAAATGTAGTGGCTTTCGGTTAATATAATAAATGGGTGACCATCAGCTGCTTGTTTTCAGATTTGTGCTGCAGATGCTACGGCTGATATGGAGGAAGATCTCAAGGTCTTAATGAAAGCAGACCCTGATAGACAGGAATCTTTGCAGTCAGAGGTTATCCCAGATCCAATGGAGGGAGAGCAGACTTGGCCCACAGAGGAAGAGCTGAGTGAAGCAAATGGTTGGTATTGGCAAAAACTTGCTTGTAAATCATCTGGTGTACAATTAGAGGTTTTGTGCAGCTTCTCACAATGAGGATCCTATAGTTAGAGTGAGATGAGGATGTGGATGAGGGTTTGTCTTTTCCCTTCACCCTCAACCCTAAACCTTATGTGTTTACATTAAGCATTAAACAAAGTTTTTCTTTCTTTTAAAATTATTTCTATTCTTGTTTTAGACTGGATAAAAATTTTTGTGGTCATTCCAAGATTTGTTTAGCTATATAAGTATTGGTAATTGGTTTTGTTTGGCGTTTTGGTGTTTTGTTTTTTTTTTTTTTGTGAGAAAAATTTCTATTTATAATTAGCTGGACTCAGTTTAGATGATCCCAATTTTGTTGTCAACATCCAAAGCATCAGTCAGGAGCAAATTGAACATGAGACTTCTCTCCATCAGGCCTAATCTGGGAACGTCATAGAGCTTCTTTACAGCTTGTTTGTTTTGGTGGTTGTTGGACTTGACATGCCCAGTGAACACAACTGTGTTATCGTCTATCTTCTTCATGGCTGACTCAGTGGTCAGGGGAAACTCCGTGATGGCATATCAGTCAAGCTGGTTTCTCCTGGGGGCGCTTTTTCAGGGGTATTTGGGCTGCTTTTCAGAGTCTCAGCATCTTAGGCCTCCAGAATGTGAGTCTTCTTTTTTCTGTGGCTGTGGATGCCCTTTCAAGACTGCTACCTTCGCCTTTAACACTTTTGCTTTGGCTTCAGTTTTGGGAGAGGTAGGGGCTTCCTTCCTTCCTTTCAGCGCCATCTTTGTAAAAAGGAAATATTGCTAGTTTGAGGCAGCTGGATTAAATTTGGAAATCTGTCGCAGCCATGTTGTCTCTCAAGAGTTTTTGTTGTTGGTAGCAATACAGTTAAGCCTTAACTTAGTTTTTGTGGGGGTCTTTCAGTATGCCTTGTTTTTGAAAGTTTATTTGTGCCACTTTGCTATTATGAAAGGCCTGTATTAGCACCCATTGACACTATCTGCAACAAATCCTAAGATTTTTTCTTTTATAAAAAAAAGGAAAATGCAAAACTACATTTATGTGGCAGCAAACAATTAAAGAGGTATCATGTGCCCTCTCAACTTGAGCAACGTCACCAGTCTTCTTCCCTAGGAACTACATTGTACATGTGGGTTTTTTTTTCTCCTTTTTATAGGCTGTATGTTTATCACATCCTTCCTGCTTTTACTCTGTTAGTATTCTTTTAGGTTCTATGTGTTATTTGATTGTCGGTTGCTTTATGGGTCTGGAAATATGTTTTTTTTTTAAAAAGTTCCCGTATAAATTCATGGCCTTTGCTTCTTGATGCGATTTCAGCCTATGAAAAGCTCACAGAAACATTCTACTTTGATATATCAAAGGAAATGTGTATCTTAACTTTCACCTAGGTGAGAATAACTGGGGAAAGGAGGTGTGTAATGTACTTAACTGGTTTGGGCTTTTACAGACTTATTGAAGGAAAGGTCCAAGATGGTGAAGAAGGTCCCCAAAGGAACATCCATTTACCAGGCTGAATGGATTTTGGATGAGGACGGTGAAAGTGGTGGAGATGGCGAGGAATACGATGATACAGAGCATGAAGATTTTATGGAAGAGGAATCGCAGGTATGGAAATGGGGCTTTATGCTACTTTCTCTATAGCGTCAATTTGTAAGGCAATGTGTAATCCCAGGTTTGAAGGGGGGAGGTTGTTTAGGGACAAGGCAACGATTCTTAGGAATGACTATAGTTGCTAAGAGTGAAACTTTTTTCATAATTTAATCTATGTTAAAATTGGTTATCGCTGTCTCATGAGGGAGCTCGGGTGGCATAGTCCTTAGGTAGTTGCTCTGGTAACCCAAAGGCCACATCTCTATGAATCCAGCAGCAGCTCTGAAGTATAAAGATGAGTAATTTGCTTTCATGCGATTTCCAGCCTCAGAGACCCAATGAGGGTCAGCTGTGAGTCTGTTCTGACTCGGTGACAACAAGAGAAGGGCATCTAGTGAAAGAGGGTTGACTCTTAGCTTAAAGCATTTGTGGCAGAGGCAAATGTAAGTTTCTTCTAAAATAACTATTCTGTTCATTAACCTTTATTCTACAGGATGAGAGTAGTGAAGAGGAACAAGAAGAGGAGGAATGTGAAACTATGACTATCGGGGAGTCTGTGTGTGATGATATGTATGATGAGAAAGTGGATGAAGAAGCGGAGGAAAAAATGCTGGAGAAATATAAGCAAGAAAGACTAGAAGAGATGTTTCCAGATGAGGTGGACACCCCCCGAGATGTAGCTGCTAGAATTCGGTTAGTCAGTGAGTCCAATTGATATGTTTTTATTTAAGACTTACATGGCTCAGAATGGCATCACTGTGGTGCAAAAAAAGAAAAACACTTGGTCCCTGCCCCTGAAGGGCTAACATTCTAGGTAAGACATCTACACAAGAAATAGCAATATATCATCAATTTTTAGAGCATGTGATACATACTTACTATTACAGGACGTCAGTGAATTAAAAATGCTACACAAAATCAGTTAATTAGCAAATGCTTCCTGGAGAAGCTAGTATTCCAGTTGAAGTTTAATGCTTGAAGGTCTGGGGATAGAGTTGGTAGAACAGCAAGAGTAAAAAAACATCAAGATACAGATGGTTATATCTGCTCTGAAGATAAGTCTGACCAAAACCAAGAGTTATGGTGCCTATTAGAGAGGTAGGGCTTTTTATCAAGCTTCTTGCTTGACAGGTTAAAGAGTCATTCCCTGGAAGGTACTAGGGAGCCACTGTAAATACTCTGTCCCTTATTAGTGAGAATTATGGATTTGTTACAAGTGGCTTTGAAAGGCAGATTTTGAAAGATGACTAGAGTTGTTTTAAGTTAAAACCTTACTCTTTTTACAAGTGATTGAGTAAAAAGGTTAAGTAGCACCATATAAATCTAATTTGTTAATTTCTTTAAAATTTCTCTTCTAGATTTCAGAAATACAGAGGTCTGAAGAGCTTCCGGACATCACCATGGGATCCTAAGGAAAACCTTCCCCGAGATTACGCACGCATTTTTCAGTTTCAGAACTTTACTAATACTAGAAAACGCATTTTTAAAGAGATTGAGGAAAAAGAGGTTGAGGGAGCTGAGGTATCTGCCTTCTTTGCCCATCTCTGTAATTTTTATTCTTTTGCCAACATCCCCTTAATTTAATCCTTCTCTTGGCATGAGAATGAGTACCAAATTTAGTTGTGCTGCCCATAGGTGAATTAGGAGAGCCATGAGTCACTCAGAAGAGTGATACTCGGAACAAAGAGGTACCAGAAATGTCAACTGAAAAGCATTCTTTAAAGGAGAGGACGGGCTTTAGGCTAGTCTTGACTTTCTAACATACCTGGGCAAACATTTATTTCCCCATCATTAGAACTGGAAAGGTAACCTATGCTTTCTTTTGGCAGGTTGGCTGGTATGTCACACTTCATGTCTCTGAAGTCCCTGTGTCAGTGATTGAGCACTTTAGGCAAGGAGCACCTTTGATTGCATTTTCCCTGCTACCTCATGAACAGAAGGTGAAATGTCTTATGAGAAATGGGATTATGGAATTTTTCAACCTAGTTCAGTCTGACTCATAATTGAAAATTGTTTGTGACACCGACATTTTGCTCAGTGGGATGTAAAAATTTTGCCTTTAGGATTAGAAATCAGAAAGACTAATGGAGAAGTCAGTGATGGTTCTACCCAAAATGTCTGAACCTGTCTGAAGCATCTCGGTGATGCATTCTCTGAGTGGTTCTGAGACTTCTCTAGGCTTTTCTGTTCAGATTTTAAGTAAGAATTGGCAGCCTTAAAGACTTATGCCAACAGTCATGCAGGTTAAGGTGCTTGTGAAAGCTCTGGCTTTTGTCTGGTGTGGCTAAGGGTTGGAGAAGGGATTTGAATGTATGTGGTTTGACGTATGTGGTGAGCGAATGACTTGAAGGCCACTGACTTTGTGTCAGACAGTGAACACTTGGCATATTAAGACTATGGAAGAATGTGCCAAAGTATGAAATCAGCCAGTATTTGGCTTGAATGCCAGTTGCTGGTGAAGGTAAAGGATGAATCGGGCCCCTGTCATCCACTATTAAGTAGCATTGTCAATTCCTAAAGTGAATGTGAGTCTACTTGGTTTGCTTTCTTTTGGACTGGGCTGTATTCCTAGACTATGAAGTTTTCTTTTTTTCACTTGGCCCCAGATGTCAGTATTGAATATGGTCGTGAGACGGCACTCTGGCAACACTGAACCTGTGAAAGCCAAAGAGGAGCTGATTTTCCACTGTGGGTTCAGGCGCTTCCGAGCCTCGCCTTTATTCTCTCAGCATACTGCAGGTTAGTAGTGGGGGGAAGTATCTACGTTCTTGTCGACCTTACTGTCTTTTGGGGAACTGTAATCCTTAAGTGGGAAAGACAGCAGTATAGACATTCTCAACCTAGGACCCTGGATTAAAGATATTTTCCATTACTCTGGTTTAGGAACCAATGATGTTTTTAGTCTGAACCTGTCTGAAGCATCCAAGTGATGGAGTTTCTTTGTGATGCTGAGGTTTCTCAGCCATGAGTATTTGTTGCAAAGTAGGCTTTGAATGGCTTTAAAAGCCTTATAAAAGGGTGTGCCAAAGTATGGACCTTTTGACATCTTATGTCCTAGTAGCTGTATGGATGAAGGAATGGGGTTGGGTACAGTTGGCTGTGTATGTTCTGACATGTGGAGACTGGGTAAGAATTTGGAGAGTGGTGACTAAGGACACTTCTGTGGCAGAAGTGATCACCTTGCTACATGTAAGAGTGGGAAGGCAAGTTGGCCCGATTGGCAGCCTTGTCAGTATCACCTGCACATGCTCGATTTTCAGCAGCGGCAAGAGGAAGGTGATGAAGACTGAGTAATTGTTATTCTTTGCAGCCACACTATCTAAATGAGAGATTAGTTTTATCTTTCCCTTAACATTTTCTTTCCTGTAGTTTCAATATTAAAAGGGAGGCTGAGGATACATTAATGGTATTGGCAAACTATAGTCTGGGCCAAATATATTTTCATGCTTATTTTTGTAAATTATGTTACCTATCAATGTCTTTCTGTTGTAATAGCAGAATGACATGGTTGGAAGAGAGGTTGTGACTCATCTATTTATTATCTGGCTGTTTTCAGAAAAAGTTTGCCAACTCTGGACTAAGAGCTATTGGGAACTTTATCAAGCCTTAAGACTTAAAACATTCTGCCTCTAATAGAATTGTTTCTTACCATTGTATTGAGGTGTGGGAGGGGAGACCTAGTAGGGTAAAGTCACTGACCTTTGATTACCTATAGCTTCTTAGAAAAGCTTGTTGTTTCTTTCAATCCTTACCATGGCAGCGGATAAGCATAAATTTCAGAGGTTCCTGACTGCTGATGTGGCCCTGGTGGTGACAGTGTATGCCCCAATCACTTTTCCTCCTGCATCAGTGCTGCTTTTCAAACAGAACAGCAGTGGTAAGTTGAGTTCATAGAGGTAACCAGGGTTACAGGGCCTTGATAAGATGACTAATTTCCTTTTACTTAGAATTTGAGAGTCAAATGATGGTTTTCCAAATATCCTAAGTCTCAGCATCACAAAGGATCTGAGGTAAAGGTAACAAAATATCTTTCTCTTGTTTGAAAATTTTGGCTTATTGGTAAGGGCTACGTAGAGTGCTATATTTAGGATATGTTCTGAGGACAAGTTCAGCAAGGATTTCATGTAATGAACTTTCTCATGGTTCTAGGATGATAGCCAGCATCCCTATTTTAAGGTATTTTTTCCAAGAGAGTCCTTCCAGAAATCTTTAAATGGGTGGTAGCAGTAAATGACTTTGCCTATAGATTCCTGAATGATTGCTTTGCTTTTGTTCCTTAGGAATGCACAACCTCATTGCCACAGGCCATCTGTTGTCAGTAGATCCAGACAGAATGGTCATAAAGAGAGTTGTTCTGAGTGGCCATCCTTTTAAAATTTTTACTAAGATGGCAGTAGTGCGTTACATGTTCTTCAGCAGAGGTAGGTGTGAAGGAAGAAGGGAGCTGGTTGCCTTTCTGGGATGAAGGTCTACCTTTTATGAGTAACTATTTCTCTGTATGTTTCATTTTAAGAGGATGTATTGTGGTTTAAACCAGTGGAACTAAGAACAAAGTGGGGTCGTCGGGGACACATCAAGGAGCCTTTAGGTAAGAAAGTAAGAGATTTGGAACCTATCTAGATTTTCCTAATGGTACTAAATTATTGGGTCAGAGGAACATTGCTTTAAATTTTACTCTTAATTTGACCAATTTTCTGTTTATTGTCTAGGTACTCATGGCCACATGAAGTGCACTTTTGATGGGAAGCTCAAATCTCAGGACACAGTACTGATGAACCTTTATAAGCGAGTTTTCCCCAAATGGACTTATGATCCTTATGTCCCAGAACCAGTACCTTGGATAAAGAGTGCAGTTACTTCAGCAGTGCCTGAAGTGGACATGGAGTAATGGACTCAAAGGGATTCTGTCCAATTGTTGCTAGGGACTGGAGCCCACAGGCTGTGGCTGGGCAGAGTATATGTTTTCTACATCAGCCTACATGTCTGTGGCCTCTTTTAACCCCAGGCTTTTCTTGGCCTTGGCATGGTGTCTCAGTTAATGATGTATATTTTCCTGTTGATACACACCTGGAAAAAAACTATTAAATCTTACTGAAATATCAACTCTCAATTGGGATTTTGAAAACTGAGTAAGACAGAAATTTGACACTAGCCAGAGATCAACTTCAAAAGGTCTAGAGAAATGGAAACCCATTAAAATTAAATAGAAACTGATTAATAAGGAGCTGGCCTATCGGCCTGCTTCACCCAAGTTAGAGAGGATAAATCTACATTTCCACCACTGAGCACAATGCAAATGTTCTTTACTTCTGGGGAAACAGTTTGAAAATGCTGAGAGAGCACAGCAGCCACTCCAACACCAGCTGTAGGCTCAATGAGTAGTTTCATCCTCTCCCACACCAGCTGGGTTGCATACTGTTGGTACAGAAGAGAGTTAGAGTTAATGAAATTGAAGAGGAAAAGGCCTAGACAGTTCAACTAAAAAGGCCAGTTGAAGATAAATGCCCAATTTGAAGTTTCTTTTTACTATGGGTTTAAGGTTTTTTTTTTTTTGTTGTGGTGTTTGCCAGTATAAGGCTAATAGACTCTCCACACTGAAGGTATCCCCATGTGTCAGAGTCACCTGACATCCCAGTAAGTCAGTTGCTATTCCTAACTGGAAGGTTCTTTTGCCTAAGGAGTTGCTCTATTTTGTTACTTCCTTTCTTGTTGGAGCCTCACCTTAATTTCATCTTCTGTGACAGTGAAGACATCATCCACAAGATCTCTTATAATGGGCCAGGTGTTTAACCCAATGCTGGACTTGACACCATCTGCTATGGTTTCTGGAGGATAAGGATTGGGGGTCAGTTCCCCTTTCACTTTAGATTGGTAGCAGTCATCTGCATTCAAGGGTTCAGCAGCATATACCTTCACAGTAGGTCTCAGAGCCTGGAGAGGATATTAGACACTTTACAACTAGCCATAGTATTGCCTGCATGTTGAAATACAATAGGCAACAGGGTACCACATTTCGGTTCATTAAATGAATTCATGAACTGTATGAGCTCATTAAACTTAGAGAGCCTTTGCCTTGATGCATGGAATAAAAATATGACTTCCTATCACCTTATAAATAATTTAAGATGGGTCTTTAATTGTCTCACATCTGGTTTTGCTGATAATTTTGGGGAAAGTAGCCCCTGACTTGGATAGGAGGCGGTTGAGACCAGAGTTCAGGAGAAGAACTTTAAGAGTACCACTCACTGTAACGGTTTTCATGCTGAAAAGCTGTCATGGATTACAAGGACACTGAGGCAGAGAATGGCCTGTTTCAGTGCCATGGGTCATAAGAAGGAATGGTTCTTTTGAGGGGACTACTGAGCAAGTACCCACAGTGAACTACAATGTAAAATAAAATCCTCTGCCTGAAGTAGGGAGTGCTCTGTTGCTTATTTTCTCACCTTCACCGTAATTGCTATTCCAGCGGCCATTCCTCCTCCTCCTACAGGGACCACCACTGCATCCACCATGGGAACCTATTAGAAAAAGAAAATATTCATAAGCCTATATTTAAGCAATTTTATATTTAAATAGTAAAATCTATGGTCAAACATCAGATACACTGATGTCAAAAGAGGAAGAATTAACAAGATTCTTACCTGGTTCAGTACCTCCAGGGCAACTGTCCCCTGCCCAGCTATCACTGCTGGATCCTGGTTGGGATGTATCATGATGCCTTCTGTTTCTTCTATAATTCTTTTTATAACATTTTCTCTGGACTAAAAACATTAGTTTACTGGATTAAAATTTTTCAAAAGTTAAAATCAGTCATTTAACACTTTTTGAAAATGGGAGCTCTGGTGGGCTCGTGGTTTAGGGAGTTTTGCTGCCAACCTAGAGGTAGGGCTGCTTGAATCTACTAGCTGCTTTGTGGGGGAAAAGATAAGCACTCCTTGTGTAGTTTACAGCCTTTGAAAACCTGGAGGTAGTTTGACTGTGAGAGATACAGCCTTGAACACAATACTCCTTGTCCTCTAGGTTATATTCTAATAAAATGGTAAAGAGGCTACAAGTAAATATAGGTAAAGACAAAGTATCATGGAGAAAAAATATTTTATGTAGGGCATCCAGGAAGGGAAGGGGGCTCTGATAGTGTGACATTTTAACTGATTTGGATGAGTACTAAGGCTATCTAGAAGTATATTTCAGGAAGAGGGAAATAATAGCAAGAGCAGAGGTTTCAGAGTCTGTTTTTGGCCTTTGTGAGGGTGTATTTGGGGTTAGGTCAGAAAGGAATGTCCAGTATATCCAGCCCTTAGATGATTTTTAAGAAATTTGGCTTCCATAGATTACTCTGCTTACTCTTTATAATAGATGAGTGAAGATAAGGAATGCATCAGGGATGTATCCTTTCTCCATACCATTTCAACCTATATGTTGAACAGATTTAAGAAACAACTTTGGAAGGAAATCACAAAATTACAGAGTTTGGTGGGCAAAGAGGAGGCAAAGGAATTAGGAAAGATCCAGTAGGAACCTGAAAAGATCTGGTAATAGTGGGCATTGATCAATGGTGGTTAAATGATCATATGAACTATGAAGCATTGTGTGAAACAATTACATGAATGAGATAATATACAAATTTTGTATGCAAACCAATACAAAACATTAAAGGAGCTGGACTTTATGAAGAATAGTGTGGCAGCACAATCAGAAGACTCATTAACAACTTGGATTATGCAGATGATGCCACCTTAGTCCCTGAAAGTGATGAAGATGAAGTTCTTGATGCAGATGATCAGGTTAATCAAGCCTTCAATATGGACCGCATCTCATATCAGTGAAGCAAAAATCCTCACCACCAGGCCAATAGGTAGCATCATGATAGACGGAGAAAGTACTGACGTTGTTAACAATTCCATCTTTCTTGGATCAACAATTAACACCCACCAGATGCTCTGCCGGGGAAGGAGGGACAATCTCCTCCTGTACCTGTCAGATCTGATTTGACGGTACACGCACACAAAAATTAAAAAAAAACAACAAACAATTAACACCCTTGGCACATGTAAGAAATCAAGACAAACTGCATTGTGAAAATCTGTCAAAGGCCTCTCCAAAGAGCTAAAGAGCAATGATACCAGTTTAAAGAGTAAGGTGCATCTGATCCCAAGCTATAGTCTTTTCAATTGCTTGTGAAACATCTGAAAGCTGGACAGTGACTAAAGATGACAAAGGCACTGGCCTTTGAATTGTGCTGGATAAGACTATTGATTATCCTATGGATGGCCAAGAGAATAAGTATGTTCTGGAGAAAGTGAAACCAGGGTGCTCCCTGGAGGCAAGGATGGCGAAACTCCATCTCACATACTTTGAGCATGTTTTCAGGAGGGGCCAGTCCTGGAAAGATAGAGGGTGAGTGGAAGAGAGGAAGATCCTTGACAAGATGTATTGACACAGTGACTAGCAATGGGATCAAGTATGTCAGAGATGGTGATGCTAACTCCATATAGGAAGGTTCAGAGCCATTGTTCTTAGGTTCACTATGACTCGCAGTCTACCCGATGGCCTACAACAAGCAGGGCAAAGGAAGCTCTGATGATGTGATCAACAGTGAGTTATACTGCTAACTCAAACACTAAGTATGACTGAACAGAGGCTCTAAGGGGGAGAGAAAGGCAGTCTTCCCATTGTGGTTTACAGCCCCAGAAACCCAATGGAGGGTTGCAGTGAGTTGGAACCAATTTGACAGCAATGGGTCCATTTTGAGTGGGCAAAGGTGGCAGCAGGAAGACCAGTTAGGAGACTTCTAGCTAAAGACAGCACTAGTGGTGTAATGTGTTATGTGTTGTAGAGCCAATTGAAAGGTCAGTGGCTAAAACTATAGTGTGCTCTATAGGAGAAAAGTGGGGAGCATATTCTGAAGATTGACAGCCTCAAAAACTATGGAGAGTCATGATGAGGTGGACGAGACTATAGGAGTGGGTTTATTTTGGGTGTAGTGGAGCTAGAGTGAAGTAAAATACTAGTTAGGCTAAAATAACCGAGGTGAAAAGTACTGATTAAGGATGATAAATGTGACAAGCAGATAGACTGTGGGAATATTTCAAAAGTAGGACTAATTTAAATGTTGGGTGTGAGAGAGTTAACAAAATGATACCTAAACTTTTTGTATTGAGCAACTAAAAACCTACAAGTTAGTATATACTGAGATGAGGGGAGGTGAAAGGAGCAGGCAAACCAGGAGATTTAGACAGCAAATCGAAGATGCCTCTGAGGTGTCATTTTGGAGGAAAGTACAGATGATCCCTCGAACTGCCAGGAGAACAAACAAGTATCTTTTGGAGGCAAGGATAGTCAGCTTCATGTCTCATACTTTGGGCATGTTGTTAGAAGGGGCCAGTTCTTGGAAAGGACGCCAAGTTTGGAATGGTGGAGGGCAGTTAGAGGAAAACCCTCAGGAAGGTAGATTGACAGCAACTAACAATGAGCTCGGGTATATCAGAGTTGTACTTGACTCAATGGCATCTAACAACAACAATGACAATATTAGACATCCAGAAGAGAAGGTCAGGTAGCAGCTGAATATGAGCCTGAAGCTAAGGGGAGAGGTCATAGTTGGAAACAGACATTTGGGAGTTAGTTAGTTAAGTTACATACATACAGAACATTTAAACCAGGCAATGAAAGCATTAGTGTAGATTAAAGACTGAATATGTTAAACATTTAGAGATGAGAAAGAAACAAAAGGAGACAACCAGTAAGGGGTAGGAAAAGAAGATGGTCAAGTGGAGCCAACTGGTCATTGTTCACAACCTTACCTCATCACTCTGTTCACTGTATATTATTGAGGCTCCATAGGCCTGTATTGCCAGTTTTTTACAGTTGGGAGCTGTCTTGGGCACCACAATATAAGCAGGAATACCTAGGAGGGGAAAATGAGTTAGTCCAAGCCAAGAGCTCTTAGGCTAGAAGCCTCTATTTAATTGATTTCCCATGGCTACCCTTTTTTTGAAACCCTGAGAAATTAATCATACCTTCTAGTTTAGCAGCATAGGTGAGAGCCTGGCCATGGTTTCCACTGCTGTGAGTAACAACAGCTTTGGGCTTGTTTCCTTCTGAAGTAGCAGGAATCAAGCCTCTGATTGCATTAAGGGCACCACGAATCTGGGAAAAGGATGGCAGATCATGTATTTTGATTGAAAAAAAATCCTTGGAACTTTTGTACATTTTCTCTCTCTAATATTGAACATCTATCACCAAAGCCTAGTGGTTCTACCTTCAAAATATCTTAGCTGCAAACAACAAATGCTGGCAAGGTTATGGAGAGATTGGAACCTTTATTCACTGCGGGTGGTTGTTGTTGTTGTTGTTGTTATGTGCCGTCGAGTCGTTTGCGACTCATAGCGACCCTATGTACAACAGCCCTAAACCCTGCTCCATCCTGTCCCAATCGCACTTCCTCTGACACACCCATCCTGATTACCCCAGTCACTGAATCAATCCGCCTCATAGAGGGTCTTCCCCTCCTGCGCTGTCCCTCTACTCTACCAAGCATGATGTCCCTCTCCAAGGACCTGTCTATCCTTACAACATGTCCAAAGTATGTCAGACGAAGCCCCAGAATCCTTGCCTCCAAGGAGTAGCCTGGTTTAACCCTCTCTAGGATGAA